TCAACCTCGCGCCGGCGCAGCTTGCGCGCCGCGCGCGCCGCGGCCGCGGCCGCGGCGCGCGTGGCCGCGGCCGGGTCGAGGTCCAGACGCACACCCGCCGCGCTGACCGGGCGCGAGAGGGGCGAGGCCGCGCGTGGGCCGGGCGCGGAGGACAGCTGGAAGGGGCTGGCGTTGACGGGGTGCGCGCCCGGCCGCACCTCCAGGCCCAGGCTGTGGGCCGGCGGGGTGAGGGAGCCCGGGCCGCCGGGAGGGCCCAGGCTCACGCCGCGGTACCGGAAGCCGGCCAGGCTGGGCGAGGCGGCGCGCGAGGGCAGGCCCGCCCGTACCCCTGCTGCTGCTGCTGGGCCACCATGTGCGCCGGCGTGAGCGGGCGGGAGTGTGGGTGCCCCTGGTGCGGGAGGTACCCGCCCGCCGCGCCGTCGCCACGCAGCATGCCCGCCGCCGCACTCATGCTGGCCGCCCAGTCGCCGGCCGAGGCGGCCCCGGCCCCGCCTCCCGGCCGGGCGTACGCGAAGCCGGAGGGGCTCCGAGCCTCGGCTTCATACTCGCCGTGGCGCTGCATGCCAGCGCCGGGCAGCGGGCCCCTGCCCAGGCCGGAGCCGGGCGGGGCGGGGTAGGCCTGCTGCATGTATGCTTCCCGCCCGCCGCCGGGGGGGTCGTAGGCGAAGATGGAGGGGCGATGGGCATACCCGCCGGCCTCACCGGGGTTGTGGGGGGTGGCTTCGCCGGCATGGGGGGGTAAGTGGCTCGGCATCTGGAGGCTGGCGGGGGTGGGCAGGGTGGAGGGGACCAGGGAGGAAAGCTCAGGCAGGAGCTGGGCTGCCTGGTCCAGCAGCTGCAGGAGGGACAATAAAAAAGAGGGGGGGGCTGTCAGGTTGGTGAGGATGGCGAGCCAGAGCAGAGCACTCGCGTTGGCGATGGTTGGCCCAGTGCCGGGCCTCATGGTGAAGAACTCGTTTGAAAAACCAGCGCGAGGGGCGGCGCCTGAGCATGCGCGTGGCCTCAGCAAGCGGCCTGGGGAGACATAAGCCGACCCACCACACCTCCCGCGGAATGAAGGACCCCACATTCCACTGGGTGTGCGCATGGGAGTGGATGCTGCCACACGGCAGCCCGAGAGCACAGCGGTGGCCACACCCCTCGCAGGCACATCGGCCGGCAACAAGCAAGCACACTCTCCCGGCACCTTCCCCACTTTACGGTCCCCAATCGCCAGGGCGGCACCGACCTGGGAGAGCCTCGCGTCAGATGTGTCGCCATCCAGGCGCTGCGGGGCCATCATCTCCCACACATCGTCCAGGGTTTTGCTCCTGCGCAGGTCATGCGGCGGTGTCGAGTGTGTCGAGTGTGTCAGTGCCACTGTGCCTTGAGATTGCAGCTGCAGGGCAGAGTTTCCCTTGCACCTCGGTCGCCCAACTCGCGATAAGTGTCCCTAGGGAAAACGCCCGTGCCCCTGCCCGGATCCATGCCTGCCCTGCCCCAAAGGATTCGCATCCGCACCGCACGGGTGCCGAAAACCTGCCGGGACACCTTCCCCGCCCACGCACCCAAAGGAGCCGGGGTTGTGGCGCTGTAGGGCTTCGATGGAGATCCCCAGGGAGCTCAAAGAGTCCCGCAGCTCGTCTGCAGCGTTGGAATCCGTGCCCGCCCCCTCCGCGGCACTCGCTTGCACCAGCTGTTGCAGCAGCTTCCCCTGCAGGAGTTGGGATGGGGTTTCATGCCTGCATGACGCGGCATTGGGGTGCGGGCGGTTCTGTAAAGCGAGTCCAACGCCCCCACGTACCAGGTCTGCGGGCAGGCTTTCCCCCCCGGGCAGGGTCTCAAGGGAAGCGGATATCGGGTCCGTCCACGCATCTCTCTGCATCGCGCTTCGACAAGACAACGCAAGATCTTGGTCGCAGATCAACCGCCAGCAGTGGCCGTCGGCACGTTGATTGGCCGGCGTCCAACAAGTGTCGTCGGGTGCCGGGTTTTGGGATGGAAAGCGGGGCGCGGACACGGGCACCTGACACGTGGAGCGCGCCAACCAAACCTCCGGACGCCCCTCCCATCCATCGGCCACTGATCTCCGTTGCTCCCGCGCCACAAACTTCGAAATGATCCCACACTTCACATCAGATGGCATGCAAGGGGCCATGGGATGGGCACGGGCTCGCATCAGGTCGACGCATCCACCGCCGCCGCCACCCAGTCCCGGGCGGTGATGCGAGCGACGCGCAGCCCGCCGCCGCCAGCCGCCTCCAGGGCCTGCATGCCCCTCTCGGCCGCCAGGTGCTCCAGGAACTGCACCAGCACGGCGTCTGTCAGGTCTGGCCCCGCCGGCGCGGCCGCCTCTGGCTCGGCGGCGGGGGGGTCGCCCTCGTCACTCGGAGAACTAGCCACCCCAGCAGGCTCTCCCCCTGCTCCCTCCGGGCCCTCCGCCGGCGCGGATGAGCCGTCAGCGGGTTCCGCCGCATTTCGTGTCTCACTGAGAGGCTCCTGGGGTGCCGACTCGCCACCGGTGGGCTGCTCGGTGGGTACATCTCCGCCAGCAGAATCCTCAGCGGCAACGGCCCCGCCTGCCGGTGGCATGCTGGCCTCCAGTCCCTGCTCCGACACGCCACCCTCCGCACCCTCCTCTCCAGCCGTGGCGGTCTGCGCAGTGGGCCCAGGGACGACCTGCAGCACCGTGCCGGCACCCTCGCACACTCCACGCACCAACCCGAGCGCCTTTTTTTGTGTTTGTTGGGGGGGAGAGATGTGGTTGCGTGGGCATGGAGAGATTGAAACGATGCCGCACCATCGCGCCGCCGGACGGGCAAGCTCCCCATCATGCTTCCTCCCATGCCACTGCTCCCATACGTCCCCTCGCACTCCTTCACGTCCCATCCACCTGACGCCAAACCCACACCTCCCGCCCAAGCAAGGCCCCACCCACCCCACTCCCTGGAACTCGACCCAGCGCACCTTGGCGCGCGCTGCCTCGTCCGCGCCCGGCGCAATGGCGCCCCACACGGCCACAAAGGCGGAGGGCAGCGGCGCCTCGCCCTCCCGCGCCGCGCCCTCCGTCTCGGCGTGGAAGCGCGCCAGCGCCTGCGCGGCCGAGCGCGCCGCGGCGGCGGCGTGGGCCGGGTCGACGTAGCCGCTGGGCCGCCCGATGCTCAGCGTGGCGCCCATCAAGCTGACCACGCCGTTGAGCTGCAGCGCGGCGGTGGCCATCTCGGTGGTCCGCAGCTCCACAAAGGCATACCGGCCCTCGCTGTGCACGTTGCAGTTCACCACCGCATCCATCCCTGCTCAGGCATGCGCAGGAGGATCCACATCGAACGGGAGGTGGGCCACAGGCAGGCATGCCTTCATCTGGATACTCCCTGGCAAGGTTGTCTCGCCCCCACCCCCCCCCCAAAAAAAACCCATTAAACCCCGTCTCACCCGGCACAACTTGTGTGGGGAAGGCCACGGCCATGGTGGAGTCAAACAGCTGCTTCAGCATCTCGCTTGTGATGCCTCCCTGGCCCAGGTTGCCGATGTAGAGCTGCAAGTTCTCCCGCCGCGTTTTGCTGGCCGCCTGCACCGTCGAGGCGGCCTGCTGCTGCAGCACCGTCAGCCGCGCCCCCATCTGCTGGTCCCGCATCTGCTTCTGGACTGCAAGGGCAATCGAGAAGAATGGGGGAAAGGGGGGTTTGGGGACGCACCACAGCGAGGCAGGAGGCCCCCAACATGGACGCCGGTGACGCACCCCAGACCACCAACGCAACGACACCCTGCCACTGCACGCACTCTCAGCAGGGTCGGCGGCCTTGGCGGCGGCCTGCCTCAGCTTCTCAAAGGGATCCACAAAGTTCTTGGTGGGGTCTGGGGGTCCCCGCCCCCTCCTCCGTGGGACGTAGCCATACTCGAGATCTGCACAATGCAGAGGTGAGAGCAAAGTGGGAAGGGGGGGCCCTGAACACAATCTATAGTGGTTTGCCTACTGCAGCTGGGCAATCCACCTTCCCTTACCACCCACCAGAGGAGGAGCTGCGGTACCGATTGCGCCTCTCCCTACTCCTCTCCCTCCTCCGATCCCTCGACCGGGAACGCCGGCTGTCGCGCCGGTCGCGTGATCTGCGGGGGAGAATGGAAGGGCCGATCGGTCCGGGCATGATTATCTGTTCCTCCTGGAAATGGCAAAATATTTCAAGGAGGGAGGCTGTAATAGCAGATGGCAGCTCCTGGGCCTCCATCCAGTTCAAGGCCACGCCTGGAAGCGCAAAACTAACCTGGACCGTCGCGAGCGGTCGCCGCCTCTCCTATCTCTGCTCCTGCTTCTGGACGATCTCCGGCGGCGGTCCCGGCTCCTGCTGCGGGAAGATCTACGATGCACAAGGGGGCGTGCATGAGGAATGGGTGCGGGTTCCACACTTGAATACTTGCACCAAGCCGAGAAGGGCCCCTTCCATGCACTGTGAAGGAGGCATGTGGAGGCCTCAGATCTAAGACAAGATGATGTCAACTACTCCAAGGCAAGCCTGCTCGGCGTACTTGTGCCACTCCCGCAGAACCACCATTCCACACTGAAGTACTTCCAAGTCACCTTCTTCGCTCATCATCCCTGCGACTGCTGCGGTGCTTCTTACGATCCCTGGAGCGGGATCGCTCGCTGCGCTTAGACTCCTTGTCCCTGTGCCTGTCCCGCCTCCGTTCCTCGCCCTTCTCGCCAGAAGCTACATCACCAGACGCTGCGGGAGGGTGAGAGGCCTGCCCCTGTCCTGACACCGCCTCTTCGGATCCAGGCACCTTGGTGGGGCCATGTTCATCGATGGCTACCTGGAGTGCGGGGGCCGTACGATCGTCGTCCGCGGCCACAGGTTGCACGACAGGGTCGACGTCCACCATCGCCCCGGGAGGGCGAAGGAACAGATCAGCACACAGCCCTTGGAAATCGGGCGAGATGGAGCAACCGAGTATCGTTGTTGTGTAAACACCCTCGAAGATCCCGTTTTTACCGTCTCGAGTTCCTGTCTTTGCGCGTTATGGGGTTGGGTCTTGATTGCCAGCGTGGACAGGCCCTGAAGGGAGCCCCACCAAGCAATAAACCATGTTTGAACAGCCTCAAGCTTAGGTTTGAATGCGCATTTCGTAGACTTACAGGAGGGGGAATGAAGCATTACCAAGAGTGGCAGCGCGTCGCAAAGCCCCTGTGGTAGGGTGAGTGCTGGGTCACTCGTGTCTGCTGTGCCCCCAGATCCACAGCCTCCTCACCAAGCACAGTGATCAGTGAAAGGGGTGGGCAGCAGCTCATGGCAGGCACTGAACAGCCGCCTGGGTCAGCATATCAGGACGGGTGCATGGCATGCGAAGGGATCCCTCTAGCTCCACCAGGAAGAGGTCAACGCCCTCCCGCACGGGATGCCAAGAACTGGTTCCAGCTGCGTGGCTGGGCAGGTGGCTTGGACTGCCTACAATGTCCAGACTCCGGGGCACCTCCGGGCGCGGCGGGAGGGTAGGGCATGGTTAACGCCGGAGAGGGCAGCCCCACCCCCTTGCTGGCCGGGGGAGAAAGGAGGGGGAGGGGGCGCTCGGGCGTGGTTGGAGGCACACCCTCCGGTGGACAAGCTGAAGAGGGAAGGGGCGCCGTCCCTTTCTGTCCAGGAGCCAAAGCATGCGGCTGCCGGTGTGTTCCCGCCCGCCCGTCCTCCCCGTCATCGGCGGCGGCCGGGGAGTGGACGTCGATGCCCGTAATGTCTGGCATGTGATCTGAAGCTGCAGGCCCGAGCGGACCCCCGCACATGCCATCGGCTCGGGCCTGCATGCTGGAGAGCCACTGCTGCCAGGGCCGAAGGGCGGGGGTGGGGGCGGCAGGCGTGGCGAGCCGCAGGTGGTGGGACTGGACGGCCGCCTCGCCCCTGTTTGGGCCTGGCAGCGCAGCAGAGTTATGCCTGGCAGAAGTACCGGTGGCAGCGATCACGTTTCGAAGGGTTGCGGGGGCAGGGGGGAAGCCGGGGGGGCGTACTCCCTGGTGCAGCTCCTGGGCCGTCAGCTGCGAGGGTGTGTGGATGCAGCCGTCTGAGCCTCGTCCTCAGGGGAGTATTGTTGCCCATTGCAATCTAGGCAAATGGGATCCGAGGTCCATCTCCATCTGTGGCTCCGATGCCCTCGCTTTCGTACACAAGCGGCCCCATCCCCAATCCATCATCCCCTCTCAATCGGCCCCCACACCTGCGCATTTTGCCAGCGAAGCAGGACCTCGTTGGCCTCCAGCTTGCACTGCGCCTCCCTCGTCTCGTGGCGGGCACGCTCCAGCTCCGCTCGCAGCCCGTCTGAAGGAGGGTGTGCTTGGCAGGGCTATGTTCCAGTGCCCTGGGATGGCGAGGGCAGGCCAATGCAAGTGCCAGAACAACAACACGTTTCCCACACCGCAATCCCCTTGTAACCCACCGGCCTCCTTGCACGCAGCCTCCAGCTCGTGAACCACAGCATCATGCTCCTCGCGCGCGCTCTGGTATGCTGCCCGCTGCGACGCCAGCTCGGCCTCCTGCCTGCTGATAGTGCCCCTGAGCCGCCCGGCCTCCTCACCCAGCCGCACGAGGTTAGTCTGTTGAGTGAGATGGGATCCTGGAGATACGAATAAAAGGGATGGGTACCCCAAGTCAAGCGTTCCCAGTTCTCGAGTCAGCGCTCCACCCTGGTCCTGCCAGCAAACCCCTTCACCTGTGCCAGGTGGAGGGCCGCCTGCGACTCCCGCAGCCTCTCCTCGGTGGCGGCCAGGGCTGCCGTTGCAGACTCCTGCGCCCTCGCGCTCTCCCTCTTGCCCAGCTCGACCCGCTGCAGCGTCGACTGCAGATTCGAGGAGGGAGGATGAAGGGGTTCGGAGGCTGGCTTGCATTCTGCCGATCCACCTTGAAATCGCTGTGCATGAAAGCACCAGCCACATTGACCAGGAGCGTACCCGAGGATGTCTCCTCCCGGCAACCTCCAGAAATCCCATCAGCTCCCATGCGCGCCAAGCTCCCTTTCAAAACCCTCTCCGCATCCTGGCCTCACCTCCAGGGCCTCGGCACGCTGCGCATGCTCTGCCGTTGCCGCGCCGGCAACGGCCAGCCGCTCCTCCAGCCCCGCAACCCGCGCCTCCAGACCCCCCGCCCTCGCCTCGCCCTGCGCCAGCGCGGCGGCCAGCGCCGCGGCCTCCCCGCGCAGGCGCGCCGCCTCCTCGCGCGCCGCCGCGGCGGCGCCACGTTCGCAGCCCAGCTGGTGAGCCAGGTCGGCGCGCGCGGTCTCCAGGCCCTGCCGCTCCTCGCGCAGCGTGGCGTGCGCGCTTTCCAGCCCGGCGCAACGCTCCTCCGCCAGGCGCAGCGCCTCGGCGGCGGAGGAGCGCGCGTCTTCCAGTTCCCTGCGCGCGGCGGCGCGGACGGCCTCCACCGCGGCCCGCTGCGCCTCGCCGGCGGCCGCCTGCGCCGCCTCCAGCGCGCGTGCATGGGCATCCCGTTCGGCAGCGGCAGCGGCCGCGGCGGCGGCGGCCGCCTCGGAGGCACTTGCCGCCTCCGAGACGGCCGCCTTGGATGCGGCCAGGGCTCGGCCGAGCTCGGCCGACAGCTCGGCGGACCGCGCCTGCTCCTCGGCGAGGCGCAGCGCTATATAGGTCTTCACCGCGCCCTCTGAGCCACTCAGCAGGCCGAGCGAGAGGTGGGGCCTGCGCGACAGGTCGTTCTGCTCCGTAATGTGGAGGGTGGGGCCGGGGGCGGGGCCCTCATCCAGCACCGCCTGGAATCTGGAGAGACAGCGGGGAGGGACTGTGAATGATTTCGCTCAACCAGAGGAGAGGTGTGTGTGTTGGATTCCTCTGGTGTGAGGAGAGACCCTCACAATACCGCGCCTCATCTCACTAGTCGAGAGAGCACCTCGCATGCCATTCAAGACACCCCGTGGCCTTTGCTGCCGAGACATTCCGGGCCACAATGATCCACGCATGAGCACCTCACCTCGGCTCCAGGTCGGCGCCGCACGTCACACAGCGATCGAGGAGGCCCACCAGCTTGGCCCCAAAGTTAGCGTGGTCCACCAGGAGGCCTTGGGAGGCCTTCAGGACCCGGAAATCCTCCTCCCCACAGTCCATGGTATAGAGGAAGAGCGGGTCGGTAGGGCTGGAGACGTACAGGCGCAGAACCTGGATAGGGTAGCGTGTGTCTCGGGATGAGCCGCCTCATTGCGTGATATTGCTTTTTGATGAGGATGTTTGGGTGCAAGCGGCGAAATCTTGCCCAGGATCCAGATGGGTCTCGAGGTACGGTGCCGGGTGTCCCACTCTCGAACCCAACAACACTACCGTAGCCGAGAGCTGGTCTCACCTTCTGCATGCCGATGCATCGTCGGGACCAGACATGACACGGACATCCAGTGAGCGTGCTCCGATGTCCGTGCCATCTGATCGCACCAGGACTGTCATGAGCTTGCGGAACAGCACTACGCCGCCCTGCAGATCCGAGGGGAGTCCCTCCCCCGCCATGGACCCCGGCTTCGTGCTTCACACCCCTCACGTGCATATCCTGCAAGTGGGTTCTCCGTCGCCCGCCTTTTGCGAGAGCTCGCAGATGCACAGGCCCCCATCCGGTCAAACACCGTATGGCGGGGATTGTTCAAACCTCCCGGGATGGCCCCTGGGTCAATGATAGTATGTACTGGGAATCTTCAGGCAGCCAGGTTGGCAAGTCAAAAAATCTAAGCGGTTACAGTAAAATAACACAGTCCAAACAACGTCTTGTCAAGACCAAGTTTGGAGCTGTCAGAGTTATCAAGTGCGATGCTGCAATGTAGAAGCAAAGGGGAGAAGCAACGGCACAGGCATCACACCTCCATTGCCTCTATGTTGAGTCGGGCCTGTGCGAATATCTTAGCATTGGGCCCGGCTCCATCATCTTCCGGCAATGTCTTCAGCATCAGAGCCTTGCAAGCATTCACGTCTCCTGTCAGATGCACCAGTCGAATAGCCACTGGCTCATTCTTGATGGCCGTCAGGCAGGTGAGGGCGGCCCACACCTGGGTGGGCAGGGTTGAGTTCTTATAGAAGGCATCCTGCAGCGCAGGCATGCCTGCGCCTGAGCGCGTTCGCCAGCAGTGCCTGACAACTCGAGGCCCAGCCACTCTCCCGCACCTTTGTGTGGTCATCACGACCGCAGCGGACGACACACAGGTGTTGCAATGGATTGTAGTACTTGACTGCAGCAGGGTGCGTTGTGAGCATGGGATGCACAGGGCCTCAGCCAGGTGATACTGGCACCAATTCAATTCAGAGTATGCTATCTGGGTTCCGGAGAGCTAACTAGCCGCCTCACCTTGCAGGGATGCCAGCACGAGGCCGAGGAGTGCCTCCCCATGCAGATCCTGCACTGCTTGTCGAAACACCTGGAGCAGCTTGAGCTCGTCTGCAAGGGAAGTGGGTGAAAGAAGGCTATTGTTCTGGACACATCTGCTTCTCCAGCCTTCAAAGACCCCCCTCCCCCCCCCCCCAGCCTTGCTTACTCAGGCCAGCGCTGCCACTGTCATGCTTCCACTCGAGCTCAAATACCATGTATCGATTCTTGAATCGAACCATGTCGAGTTGTGTGGCCGCCTCCTATCGATGCTGGACTGGGTGCAACGCAAGCACGGAGGAGGCTGCGAGGCTCTGGCCTCGGCAATTACAACGCTGGGGAATGGGCACGGCGCACATCCGACCGAGCAAACGACATTGTATGAGTATGTTGTAGTTCTTCACATGTCCCGTGCTCGCACCGCATGCAGTCCAAACTACAGCGGCTCGTGAGATCTTGTGCCGCACACCGCGCCCAGCATGGGGTCCCTTTCAAAAGGTAGCAACAACAGTTGGTGAAAAATCCTCGACCTCTCGGATCTCCGACTGTACACCGAATAAATCAAGTGCAGTCTTATTGTCTCGGCGGATCGCAACAGGTATTAGCCGCACCTCGACCTCGAAGGCCATGGCGAGCCCAGGCGTCGCGCCCGAGTGTCCCGTCCCTAGTCCTCGCGACAGCCTGCGCCGCAATGTGGAGCACTTCCTCACATGCCATGCCACACTCTGGCTCTCCAAGCTGCTTGGATGCGATCTTCCCCAAGAAACCCCCTTCGACGTCCTCATCAGCAACTGCCTTCTCCTGTGAGGGGCCACTCTGGGTGGGGAGGACACGGGGAGTGGAATATCTGCCAGCAACCCGGCAGGATCTGGCCGTTGATAGTGACGACGATCTCCTCGCCTGTGATTGTTTCTCGAGTTCATTGGCAGTTAATCTTGAAGCAATCCAACCCCCTGTCCCCTCTCGTATACTACCCATCAGAGGGCTGGCTGCACGGCATCTCCACGCCGTCCAGGCGGGACTGCCGCCCCCCGCCCTCCCCGACAAGCTGGGGTTTGGCGAGCGCCCCCACCGCCACGTCCTGGACGACATGACGCGCTTCCAGGACATGTGCCGAGAGCTGGGTGTGGGCCCTGGCGACCTCGTCTCCCTGGCCGATCTGCAGAAGGGCAGGGCCTGCCACCGCATCGCCAGTTGCCTGTGGGACCTGGCCTCCATCCTGAGGCGCGGCGGGCACGCTGAGGTGTGTGAGAGTTTGGGTGAGAGGGGTGCTGCGTAGACCCAGCAGAGCACTGCGTGCACAGGATCCTGGCGGTGCTCACAAGGACATGGAGCTCGAGGATGCAGCGGCACACATGCGGCAGAGACAGGGAGGGGACCACGGATGCTCACCAGCCTGGTATGGCAAGAGGCTCCTCCTCGATGCCCAGTCATGCCCTGAACCCTGCTGGACGACTCGCTAACCCTCCCGCGGCCCATGCGGCAGGTGCCTGAGTTTGCGAGCGCGGAGGACAGGCGCGCCATCAGGACCAGCATGCGGCGGCTGGCAAAGGCGAGGAAGGTGCGCGCTGATCGTCGGCGGTGGGAGATGGGAGGAGTGTGCCGGGTCGCACATGGCACCTTCCGACTGCCTGTGGGTTCACAGCAGCAGGAGTTGACACGCCTGCTCGGGCCACTGCCTGACCTTTGGAGGGAGTGCTCCTCCATGCCCCTCCCTCTGACCACCCACTCGTGACCTACCCTCAAGCCCGATCAACCAATCATGCGGCCCTTTGGCACACTGCAACCACAGGCCCGCTTCGAGACGGTGGACTCCCCGCTCAAGCGCCCTGCCGGTCGCCCGCCGCGGCTGCAGGTCCCGGGTGGCTGCCGGGAGAGCTGCCCCAGCGCCAGCCCCAGCCCCAACGCCGAGCACGTCAGCCCTGCCGGCGGCGGAAGCCGGGCCGGCGGCCAGCTCAGCGCGCGCAGCAGCTGCAGCAGTCCCAGTCCCAGCAGCCAGCAGGGCCTCGCCTGGCTGCAGGCGGCCGCCGGGCTGGACTCGGGCCGCCTCGCCAGCGCCTCGCTGCGACGCTGCGACGAGGCCTTCGTTGGCGACGGTGGAGCACGGGCTACCCAGCCGGTCGGAGCCGAGGGTGCAATCGGATCAGGAGGCAAGTCAGAGACAGGCGGGCGAGTGCCAGGATCAGCGGGCGGGCAGGGGCCAATGGCTTTGGCGGCTGGCCTCCCCTACCCCCCGGCCTCCCCACCTCGTCTCAGCCCGTCGGCGGGAGGGGAGACCCTGCTCGCCGCCATCCTGTCCCCTGAGAAGTCGGGCCACTCGCGACTGCTGGGGGAGATAATGCACACGGCCAGTGCGGCGGGGATGCCCAAGGGCGGGATGTTGCTCGGGGCGCCGCCGCCCCAGCCTGAGCAGGCCCCGTGCCTGCCAGGCTCAAGCGGGGAGGACGGCGAGGTGAAGCCGATCGAGCCGGTGCCTGGAGACCCGGCCCGGGGCGGGCCAGCATCCAACCAGTCCCCACCAGAGAATTCAGCGCCCAGCAAATATGTGCAGGCGGCCAGGCCCAAGGAAGTACTCGTCTTCGAGAGGGAGCGACACGCTCCTCGGGATGACCCACTGCCCTCGCCCACCCCTCGCGCCTGGAACTGGGCAGCTGCCGGCGCCCTGGCGGCCGTGGCCCTGGCCGCAGGTGTGCTGCTGCTGCAGCACGGGCAGGTCACGCTCTCATCCCCGCTGTGGGCCAGGCGCGTGTCCTTCTGGCAGCGGCGCAGCGCGACCCTGGCAGCTAAGAGGGCGATGCGACGAGGAAACTGCGGCACGGGCGGGGACTGGGGCAGCCCCGCGAGTCTTCTGCAGAGGCGCACCTAGCGTGGCACTTCTCCGCGCTAAAGTTGTGGCGAGGACCTCGCCAGGCGCACCTTGCAGAGGGAGGCGTCAGGGATGCAAGCGGTCTTCCTCGCCGGCGGTGGCCGAGAGCTGTCGCCGGGCCCTCCAAACCCCCATCCCCTCTCCAATGCATGGACTTTTCCTGTGGCAACTGTCGTCAATTTTCCCCTCCCCTCCCCCCCCCCCCTACACTCCAGCCCGTTCAAGTGTCCTTTCGATTGTCCAGAGGGGTGTGTATGACAGGTGTGCTTTATGAAAAAGGGGGTTGTAGCCTCCTCAAACGGCCGACTCTCGCCACGACAACTGAAAGGGGGGGAAACCCTCAGGCCAGGTCATGGAGCTCAGGCGCGGGGGTGTCGGTCAGGGGTGGGAAACCCGGCCGAGTCGCGCAGCTGCCTGGCCCGTCGATCGTGCGCAGGAAAAATCAAGTCGGCCGGGTCAGTCATACGCGCGACGCCGGCGCAGACCCCCCGCGCCCAGCTCGTGAGGGGAGGGAAAGGTCCGAGTCTCGATCGCGGGCGCCGCCTCGCGCACGTCAGGCCGCCAGGTTGCCCTCCTTGACGGCAATGTCGCGGTCGAGCACCGCCTCGTCCCGCAGGTTGATGTGCTGCAGCGGGCACTCCTTGCCTGGCGCCGGCAGCGTCGTGGCCTCGGTCACCATGGCCAGCAGGTTCTTGGCGCGGTTGGTCACCGCCTCCTCGTTCTCCTGCCGCAGCTTCATCTTCTCCTCGATGGCGCCCTGGCTGACGTTCAGGTCCTCCAGCACGCGCGCATACTTCTCCGGCACCTTCATGTTGTACCTGCGATGTGTGGGGGGCAGCCATGTGGGTGAGTGGCGCCGGTGGCTGCGCCAGGCACGGGCCAGGGTGCCACGTGGGCTCCGTTCTTAAGCAGTGAAGCAGGGGTTAGCCTGCATGCCTCCGCCCGAGGTCACTCCCGCCCCCCCCCCCCCCCGCCGCGCCGCACCAGGGGTGCTGCTTGATCTGCTCGATGGTGATGCGCTTCTTGGCGTCGATGGTGAAGATGCGGTTGAGCAGGTCCTTGCACTCCGGCGACAGCTTCTTGATGGCCTCCGCCATGTGCGGCACCTCGCTCCACCGCTTGCTCACCTGCTGCAGCCAGACCTCCAGGTGGGCCTCGGAGGTGTTGGGGTCGGGGTGCTCGGTGTGGTCAAAGGGGAAGGAGCCGAGGAGCATGACCAGGAGGAGGATACCCGAGGCCCACACGTCCACGCTGCGGCCATCGTACCCCAGCTTCCCATTCTTGGAGTTGATCAGCTCGGGGCTCATGTACACGGGCGTGCCGATCTGGGTGAACATGTTGGCCTCCTCGCTCCAGGACTTGGCGAACCCAAAGTCGCAGATCTTGATGATGGGCGGGTCGGAGGAGTCCAGGAGCGTGTTGTCCAGCTTGAGGTCGCGGTGGGCCACGTTGTGGGCGTGGCAGTAGCTCACCGCAGACAGGAACTGCTTGAAGAAGTAGCGCGCCTCGTCCTCGGACAGGAACAGGCCCAGGGCCTGGGCCTTCTGCCACTTGTCGGCCACGTAGGAGGTCAGGGACCCGCCCTCCGCGCACTCCATCACCAGGCAGAGGTGGGAGGGGGTCAGGATGGCCTCGTACGCTTTTATCACGTTGGCGTGCCCGAACCCCAGCTCCGCTTGGATCTGGGGCCAAGGGGGGAGAGGGTGCATGTCAGGGGGGGGGTGGACATGGGGATGGGGCGCCACGCAGGCATGCCACGCCGGTGTGCAGGAGGAGCGCCCAAGCCAAACAGGCAGGGCCGGCCTGGACATCCTCCAGCACTCGACCACGCAGGCGTGCGTTGGCAACGCAGGGAGGCAACAACGCGATCTTCACCGGGTGCACCGCTTGCCGTCCGCAGCGCAAGGAGTTGCTGGCACTGCAAGTCCGTCTGGGCCAGGGAGCCCCTCACCCCCTTCCACCGGACCAGCCACTCCACGCCCGGGCACCCGGCCAGATCCCAACAAGTACATGCCACACCTGGAATTCACGGACTATGTTGGTGAGCAAGACCTTCGGGAGGGGTCTCCGGATGAATTTGATGGCCACCTCGCTCCCGGTATTGGAGTCCTTGAACAGCCATGTGTCGCCCGTGCCGCCCTTGCCTGCGCCAGGGGGAACCCAAAGTTCGAGCAGCGGGGGTGGATGGGGGAGGAGGTCTGCTACCACATGCCCGGCCCGCACCTAGGTGTTTCAGCCGCTTGTAGTTGTCCCCCACGTAAAAGTCGTCTTTGGAGGACTTGGACCTGCTGCCCCCGCTGGTGCCCCTGGACCCGTCGTGGGTCGCAGGTGTGCTGGAACCACACCCCATGACCCGGGGTGGGGGAGGTGGAGTGGCCGGGGGTCTGGTGTCAGGGTGGGGTAGGGGCCTGGCAACGACCTGTCCCGCAAGCGAGTGGGGCTAGGAAGCGAGGGTTGATGGACCCGACGCCTGGGGGAAAGCAGCACTCCCGTCCTCGGTTTACAATGATCCCTGTACAACACAACCAACTACTGCAGTGTATCACGGGTTCGGGGGGTGTCGGAGATGTAACGAAACTGCCCGGGCTATGGCGCCAAGGGTGTGTCGCGGTTGCATAGGCACGGAGCAGGGGAAAGGGGGGTGCGAGCACTCCCGGGTGTGCACAGATCGCCAATCCATGAACGACACACTTTCGTCTCATTGCTTTCATCGCAGCATCCGTGTGCATTCACTGGGGCCAGAGCCCCTCACTGCTTGACTCTGGCACCCCGCTTGCCCCTCGATGGGCGGGGCAGCGCCGGGAGGGAGCCCCCAGCTATGGCGCTCCCTCCGACAGGAGCCTGCTTTCCCCCCGCCGCCAAGAAGGCGCGGGCATAGGCCGCCGCAGACCAGATCGTAGTCCCAGCCGTGAGCATGCCCAGGGACAGGAGCGCCTCCCCCGACGGCCAGCCTAGTAGCCCTTGCAGGGCGCACCCCCCAACCAGCCCCAGCTGCAGCACGGTGTTGATCTTGGAGATGAGGAGCGGGGAGACGGGGGCCGCGGCCGTGCCCCCGCCCAGCCTGAAGAACTCGGCCGCCCCGGGCCAGCGCCAGCCCAGCTGCCGCGCCCGCATGAGGGCGCCCCCCGCCACCAGCCCCACGTCTCGGCCCACGATCACAAAGGCCAGCGCGACAGGGAGCGACCCCTGTTTGGTTTTGAGGAGGCAGGACGAGGCCCAGGATGTTCAAAGGAGGCGGCGATGTCCTCGTCACAGGGACTGGGTCGCCTCAATCGAACACCATCATGGTCCCCCCACAGCCCCTCACACCGCTCACCGCTTTCGTGAGGGCGATGGTGACAGAGCCGATGAGGACCTTGTCCGCGATGGGATCCAGGTAGGACCCCAGAACCGACTGTTGGTCCAGCTTGCGGGCTGCCAGGCCGTCCAGCCAGTCGGAGGCCGCGGACACCGCCAGGGCAGGCGCCGCAAGGTCCCACTATTGGCAAGGGGGAAGGGAGGGGGGTGTCCGATGGGGGGTCTGGGGACGGTGGAAAGACCTGCCAAGAGACCCTGCCTGGGGCCAGGGATCCAGCCAGGGCCCTTCGGCCCCCGCAACCACCAGGATAGAGAACACATGGGCCTGCAAAGGAGCAGGCGATGGCTGGCAATTGTCCCGGCACCAAGGACTGAATAACGAATGCGCACCACACCATACCTGACCCTGCACGATCCGCCAGCCGATGGCGGGGCCGGAGATCATCCTGGCCATGGAGAGGGCGTTGGGGACGTTCAGGACCTCCTGTCGCGACCAGCCAGCCGCCTTGAGGGCCTGCACACGCAGTTCAGGGGTTGAAGAGGGAGCAGGCGGTGCGTTGCTCGCGGGCTACCGTTGGGAGGGGCCCGTTTTAGGCTGGGCGAACTTGGAAAGGGGACCATGCAATGAATGAATGCATTTGCGCGTGAGCTTGCCCCTTTCGAAGTGCCACGAATACGATCCGTCCTTCATCAGTACTCACGCCACCTGGCTGTCACCTCAACACCTCAGGCTGCGCGGCGGCGCGAGGCGGAGGAGGCCGCGCAGCTGGAGTGCTGCACGTTTGTCCCCGAAATGTCCCTCACCGCGGCGGCGAAGCGAGATCGTGAGGCGCGCATGGGCTCCCAGGGCCAGAGGTCCCATGGTCCGACCCTGTCCTCCAAGTTCGAGGTGAGGCACTGAGCAGGAGGCCATTAGAGTTGTGTATTGGTACATGGATGCTGCTGCAGGCACCATGGTGATGGTTCAGAGGATGTGGGGTAAGGACACCTAATCGCCCTGCATCAAGGGAGTGCTCACGTACTGGCCATCCCCTCGAGCCACAATCACAAATGGCACCAAGCAGTCGCGCATGGCCGAGCTGAGGCGCGCCAAGGCCGCCTCGGAGGTCAAGGAGTGCACCTTTGCGCCGACCCTGAACAGGAGGTCTCAAAACCTGACCTCCCATAGATCCTCGGCACTCAAGGTGGGTGGGGACTGGCGGTGCTGGGTGAATTCGAGAGCTTGATAGGCTGGACTCCTCGCTGCGTTCCCTGAGACTCATGCTCCATTCTTTCCACCCACCCCGGCACAGGAGGCGGGGGTGCAGTACTACGACAGGCTGTACCTGGAGGCGGAGCGCCGGCGGCACAAGCTGGAGGCCGCGGCCTTAGAGGGGGGGCGGAGGGGGGGGGGGGGGGGGGGGGGGGGGGGGGGGGGGGGGGGGGGGGGACATCCTTCATGCAATCTCCTGTTATTGTGAGTTCTGGCAATAGCATGTCGCCACCCTCCCTCGCCCACCTCGACCCAAGACGCCTCTCACCTGCACCAGGGATGGCTTGGCGGGCTCCGCAGCCTGCACAGGCTTGCTTGGGGCCACAGGCGTGGGCCGATCAAAGTCTCGTATGTGCACCGACACGGCCCCATGCGGGGTGCCGCCCTTCTGCCTGCGCTCCTGCGCCCTGCCATGCTGTGCATGTGGCCTGCCCTTGCTGTAGGCTCGCCTCAAAAAGGACCCAGAGTCCACCGTCCAGGGCCCGGGCACTCCAGGGGGCTGCCTCTGTTCTGAGGTGGAATCAGGGCCAAGGCATGCCGGGTGCCATGCACAGCTAGCAGCCTCCACTGCTGCTGGCTGGACCAGCCGAGCCCAACTTAGTGCATTTGCCTGCCGCTTCATGATGTAGGCAGACATCGCCATGATGCACAACGCTCCAGCACGATTCGATGGACCGGTGGGGGGGCGTGGGAAAGGGACGAGAAGCTGTGTCAAGGAGGGAGCTCCTTCACCTCCGTATCGGCGCTACCACACCCATTATGGAAGAGAAGCGATTAATTTGCAGGCTTGAAAGTGCCCTGCTCGGGTCTTGCCTGCACTATTCCAACATCGACTCCCGTTTCGGCGATCAGAGCCGGGGACACCCCCGTGCCACGCGTGCTGTGCTGGGCGAGACTGGTCTTTTGGTTTCGGGGCCTTCGCAAGCTGACGGCATTTTCTGGGTCGGCAGTCGAGAGTACACACACTTTATCTTTTCGATCTCGCAGTTGGAAGTTCGGATCGGCATATGGTGATTGCACCTCAGATTTTTGTTCTGCGTTCGGCAAACACCAGGGGCCGCGGCCGCGGCTCATTTTGACGGAATATCCCGGGCTGCATCTCTCCAAACGAACCCACTTTGGGCTAAAAGTTCAGCAAGCCAACTGTCGTGGCGATGAGTGTCTTGGCAGCATGTCGTGGAGTGCGACTGTTGCCGGGGGGCCTCCGTCAAATCTCCACAGCGACCCGGCGCGGCACAGCGGCGCCTGAGCCTGTGCCTGCGGCTTCCCCCAGTCTCGTGAGTGAGACTCGTCGTTCCGTATCACCCTGGCATCGGTACGCGTCGAGCTGCCAAGGGGCCAGCGCCTCACGCCTGTCCGTCTTCCCCTGCAGGACGACACTGCCAGTTTCCGCGCGGCGGACATTCGCTACGAGCTGTCCGCTCCAAATGCCAAGCTCAACCTAGCAGTGAGTTGCGGAAGTGGCGGTGTCGGGACTGTGTTCCGAGGGGTGCTTTGGGCTTCCGAACGACGACGGGTCCCCCCTCGCGTGAACTGCCTGCCACACTAGGGTTGTTGTGAAGGGAAAATCCGGCCCAGAAGGTCCCCAGTTCTCCAACAGACCACCCCTGGCCTTCGGCCCTCCGTATCTACCACCGATCCTGGGCCCGTCCCCGCCCACAGGACCTCAAGTTTGGGGCTGTGTTCACGGATCACATGTTCTTGACCGAGCATGTGGCAGGCCGGGGCTGGTCGACGCCCACGATCGGCCCTTTTCAGACCATTGCTGTCCACCCAGCGGCCCCTGTCCTGCACTACGGCCTCTGCTGCTTCGAGGGCATGAAGGCGTACGCCGGCACGGACGGTCGCGCTCGCCTCTTCCGGCCAGACATGAACATGAGGCGGTTGGCTCGCTCCGCGGCCCGCCTCCAGCTGGCACCCTTTGACACCCAGGTGAGACTCCTAGTATGGGAGGGAAGGGGGGGACTCTTGGTAAAAAGAGGAGATTGTGGAAAGTGATCATTGATGTCGATTGCTGGCCTGATATGAACTCTGTGGAACAGGCCTGGCGCCCTCTCCCTCGGTGCTTTTTTCTTCACATTGATGGCCCGAGGGCTCCTATCATGTTGGATCGTAGTACTCAAGGGCACAGGGGAGTGCAGCCCACTTGAGAGAGCCAGGAAGATGAGGGCATTGCCTCCTTACCTGCCGAGGGGTCTTATGTCCACTTCCGCTCACAGGAGCTGCTGGAGTGTCTCAAGGAGCTGGTGCGCACAGATTCCGCCTGGCTTCCAACACAGGACGGATACTCCATGTACATCCGGCCCTATGCCTTCTCCACCTGTGAGCCGGATGAGAAGAAAGTGGGGGGCTCAGGAATGGGCAGGTGGCCGGGACTTCCACAGCAGTCTTCAGAAAGCCAGGGTCTTGTGAGCTACCCTGAGCATGCTCTCGAACCTGGCCATACCATTCCCGGCCATGTGGCCTCGTCCATGCTCTGGGCGCCTGCTCGCATTCCTCGCCCCCGTCGCCCTCGTCGCAACCGCTGATGAGCGCATGCGCCTCACTTTCTTCCCCAAACCCCCTTTCACCCGCCACCCTCTCACGTGCAGCGCACACCCTGGGTGTCAGCAGGTCGACGCGGACGACGCTGGGCATCATCATGAGCCCTGTGGGCCCCTACTTCCCGTCCGGCCTCACCCCCATCCCCATCTTCGTGGACGAGGTGCATCGCCGCGCCTGGCCCGGCGGCGTGGGCGATTCCAAGGTGGGTGGCAACTACGCGCCCACCATCCTGCCCCAGGTCGAGGCGGCGGAGCGGCACGGCACGCCCCAGGTGGTCTACACCTTTGCGCAGCCGGGGCAGGCCCCAGAGGAGGCCGTGTTTGAGGAGTGCGGCTCCATGAACGTCATGTTCCTGCTCGACAAGGTAGGGGGTTGGGTTTTTTTCGGGGGGGGGGCTGGGAGGCCCCTAGGGGGTGCGAAGGGTCCAGTGGCATCCCTCCGAACCGCCCCGCTCTCTCACCCATCCATCCTAACCAATCCCTGGCAGGGCTCCGGCCACCGTGAGCTGGTGACCCCCCCCCCTGCACGGCACCATCCTGCCCGGGGTCACGCGCGACTCCATCCTGGCCCTGGCCCGCGCCATGCCCTGGGTGGAGGTGTCGGAGCGCACCATCTCCATCGGCGAGGTGGAGCGCGCGGCTGCGGCCGGCCGCCTGCTGGAGGCCTTTGGCTGCGGCACCGCCTGCATCGTGCAGCCCATCAGCTCCTTCGTCCGCGCCGGCGGCCAGCTGATGCGCGCGGCCGGCGACGGCGCCTTTGTCGCGCGCATGCATGCCGCCCTCTGCGACATCCAGTACGGGCGCGTGTCGCACCCCTGGAGCGTCCCCATCTGAGCGCGCGCGTGGAGGGGACGAGTGCTGGGAGCGTCTGCGCGTGTGTGCATGCGTCTGCACTTGCGGGAGCCTCCTGGGGATCGGGGAGCTGGAACCCGGTCTCCCACCCCCCATGTACACTACTCCATTTCCTGCCCCTTTTTGAAAACCCCCCCCAACGGACCCTGCTCGCAATGTGCTGCCCCACCCCCTGCGCACTCCAGTCGTCATTGGAATAAACACGTCGCAGAGCGTGGAACTCGGCGGGGGAGCGGGGGCTCAGCAGGGAGGAGGGTCTGGAGGCCGGGCGCCGGCCGCTGCGCGCACCGCGCAGGCGTCACGCCCAGGCGCCCTCGCCGCGCAGCCGCCAGCCCCGCGCCCGCGCCAGCTCCTCCCAGTGCGGCGGCGGGGGCGCCGCGACGCACACCTCGGGCTCGTCAGACACTCGCACGCGCACAGCCGCGCAGTGCAGGAAGAGCGGGCCGCGCTGCTGGGCGCCCGCCCTGGCGCCGTACCGGCGGTCGCCCAGGATGGGAGCGCCCAGCGCGCGCGCGCAGTGCTGGCGCAGCTGGTGCTGCCGGCCGGTGACCGGGCGGGCGTCCAGCAGCGCGACCCCGGCGCCACGGTCCAGCTCCAGCACGCGCACGACGCTCTCCGCCGCGCTCTCCTCGCCGCCGCGGCGCACGGGCAGGCGCAGCACGCGCGGCGCGGCGCCGGCGGCGAACAGCGCCGCGCGGTCTGCGGGTCTCGCTTCCGGGCACGGCAGGTCCGGCGCGCCGACCGCCACCGCCGCCAGGTACCGCTTCTCGACCGTCAAAGCGGGGGCAGGCGGGGGTGGAGGGGCGCGCGTGTGTCTGGGGCCGGCCTCACCCCTCCGCGCCTCGGCCCGGCCCCCCTCCGCGCCCCGCGCCTTGGCCGCCCCCGCCGCCATGGCGCGGCTGAGCCAGGCGGCCGCCGTCTGACCCCGGGCCAGCAGCACCACGCCGCTGGTCCCGCGGTCGAGGCGGTGCACCAGGCGCAGCTCACCGGGGTCAAACGGCAGCGCCGGCTGGGGGCCCAGCACGCCGGGCGCGCGCGCGAGGTCGGCCAGGCACCAGCGGATGCCGGGGCCGCCCTGCGTGGCCAAGCCCGCGGGCTTGTTCACGGCCACGAAGCGTGGGTCGACGTGCAGAATGGCGCGGCCCAGCGCCGCCAGCAGGGCGCGGGGGGCCGCGGGGGCCGAGGGGCGTGCGGGGCCTCGCTCGAGGTGCTGCTTGGGGTCTGGCCGTTCCTGCTTGGGGTCTGGCCGTTCCTGCTTGGCGTCGCCCCGGTGTGACACACACCCCTCACCGGATCCCCATCCAAGCTCGGAGCGGGGGACCAGCAGGCGAGCGCCGGGGGGCAGCAGCGTCGTCGCGCCGACGCGCCTGACCTTGTCCTGCCCTGGGTCGAACGCGCGCACGGTGCGGGTGCGGAGGAGGCGGTGCCGGGTCGAGGTGGGGAGATTCGGGCCTCGGCGCCGCAGCCAGGACAGGGCTGCGGCGGCGGTGGGACAAGGGCGGGCAGGGGTGGGCGATGAGCTGGCCTGGCTGGCACGGAGGTGACGCAGTGAAAGGAGCCATGCAATACCCACTCCTGCCACGCAATCTTCCCAGGAGCACCCTGCCAGCGCACCTGTGACGCCCTCGTCGCCGGGGAGGAGCTCGACGGGTGGGCCTGCCTCCCAGCCCTCCAGCCAGGTGCTGAGGACTGTGGGTCAGGCCAGGGGGATATCGGCATCAAGCCCTTCAACGATCATCAGGGAAACTCGAATTGACGATTTCATTGAAAACCTCAGATCAGAATACAGCAAGCCTCCTTGCCTGGGGAGGCACCGGGCGCATGCATCCAGCGGACCAGTGATGATGCGCCGGGAGCCCAGAGGCCCGGCAGGCCTCGTCGCATCTACCCTTTACATTCGAAATGGGCTGATGACTCCCATAGCCCCACTGTGCAGGATTCTGGACACGGGGGGCTCGGTTCCCTAGGCGGGTCCACAGGGCACTTCGCTGTCGAATGTGTTGCGGCAGGCCGAAGACGCGATTGATAGGGATGTTCTACATAGCGATTTCAACGTCGCGCATGAGTTGAAGTTTTGCTCTGGGGTAGGGTCACTTTCATGAAGATGCTCTCCGGCAGGCAGTACTCTCTCAATGACGACGGGACGACTGAGCGATTCGCCAGTCTGGAAGCAGAGCAGACCTCTGTTCCCCTCCACAAGATCCCAACTCGTGCCCCTGAGCACTTTCACTGCACAGTAATTCGCCGTGTTGCAATGGATATTCGCAACTATCGGTAATTGCACGAGTTCAGCGATCGCCGGGAGTGCCGCAAGGAATCTTGGGGGCCATGATTCCATCCCCGGGAGTACGGAGCTTGCGACCTTGGTGGGCTCTGATCGATCTGACAGTCGTCCATCCTCACCAACTCCAGCCATACAGACCAAGCACTTTGCATGGTATGGGAGATCATGTTAGACACTATTTTGAGCGCCGTTGCTTCGGGTCTGAGCACGGTGCAAGCTTGCACCAAGCCATGGGCTTTGCCACGGACGCCCTCACAGCAGACAAGCTGTTCATCGTGATCAGCGACTTCCCTCGCCATATTGTGTCTTCAAATGAATAATTCCATCATTAAAGGGCGATGCAAGCATCGCATCGGCGGCTCATTGCCATCCGAGGTTATTGGCAGAGATGCATCACCTCCACCGGCTCTGCCCTGTGCAAGTGAGACTTCCAGGTGACCACGGACGCTGGAAAAATCCCAGACCATGCCGTTCGGGTCCTAATTTTCAAGAAGACAGTTGTTTCTTGGGCAAGATGATGGCTTCCGCAGGCTGAAGCAGCTGCATGCACAAGATCTCTGTTTGCCAGCCCTCGAATCGCGCCAGTCCGACAGGGGGATGACCATGACACGCTGGGTGAACTCCAGGCTCTACATGAGTTTAAATGATGTTGAATGTTATCACTGTTTCCAGCTGTGTAGGTCGGTGTAAGCCGAGCACATGGGGGTCTCGGCACTTCCCTAGCCGTGCCTGGCGAGCACACTCTTGGACGGGCCGTGCCCAAGTCCCTCCACACTTTCCAGGGCTCCACGCGTCAGCCCCGAGAATGAGACTGGAACTAGACTGCAGGCTCGATGCGATGCCCAATTTCCATGCTGGTTCTTTGCTGCGCCTCATGATACGAGCAGGGCGATTTTGATGTCGGGCACCAGGTACGGGGGCTGCCCATGGGACCAGAGCTGGCCGCCCCTCGGCAGGGACGAGCCCCACCCTGCATGTTGCTTTGGCTGACGTTACCCTCATTACACCCCCCCCAGGGCATGCTAAGCGCATAGGGAGTGGATTGGGGGCTTTTGATCAACCCCTCGACCGCTGTCCGTGGACTTGCCTGCGAGAGTCTGGGGGCAAGGTGTCCGAGGGCGAGACCGCGCGTCATTCCTGCTCGAGTGCCCTTCCAAGGATGGCATCTGCCATGTTATTTGACCAGCTCGGCGAATCGGTGGGTGCCGGAATGAGCATGGCGTGTCGAGGGGTGCCCGGCCGCAGGCGGGGGGGCTGGCCCTGCGCGCCCGGAGGCAGCTGGCCGCGGGCATGTCACGGGGCCCCCTGTGGGCCATCGCCCCCGCCCAGAGCTTCACCCCGGGCCGCAATGCCTACATACCTATCGTGTCGGGCGTGCCGCCCCCGCGTCTGCCGCCTGGGGTGTCGGCCTCATCCGGCTTCCGGACCGTCGTGCGTGTTGCTGCCCCCTCCCTGTTCATGGGCATCCCCTCATGTCTCATTCCCGTCGCCACTGTTCAACCCCCCTCCCCCTCTCCCTTACCCGCATTTCCCCGCAGCCCATTCCCCAGTACGAGAGCAGCTACCTACGCTTCACAGGCCTGGTGGCGCAGCTGGGGGCCTGCGCGCTGAGCCCCCGGCCCACCCACCAGGGTCGCGACGGTCCCGCCCTGCACCACTTCCTGGCGGCCTGCGGCGCGGGCGCGGGCCTGGCCCCGCCCCCCCGCCCCGCCGCCCCCGCCTTCCTTTCCTCGCTGGCACACGAGGTGGAGCGCCTGCGCTGCCTGGTGGCCACCGAGGGCGACGCGCTGTGGAACCGGGTGCTGGACGCCATCGCGGCGCTGCAGACCACGGTGGGCCTGCCCGCCGAGCAGGCGCGCCGCGCTGCCGAGGCGCTGCAGGCCACGCAGCGTCGCCTGGAGGCGGCGGGGGAGGCCTACGTGGCGCTGACCGCATTCGTGCGGCACAACGTGGCGGCCTGCGCCAAGCTGGCCGCCGCCTACGACCGTCACCCCTGCCCAGGCGTGTTGATTGGGAAAGGGGGAAGGGGGGGTTGCGTGTGCGTACTATAGGGGGGCCCCTGCGGACTGAATTGCAGGGCTCGGGCTGGGCTGTTTTAGGGCCATTGAGGGCTGGCAGTACCCCAGCTCTTGACACACCCAACCCCACCCATGCGCCCACCCATTCATGCACCCCCCCTGATCCTGCCCCTCGAATCCCCCCGCACCCCAGACCTGGCTGACCTGGTGACGGGCGCAGAGGGCTCGCTGGAGAGCGGGACGCGGCTGTACCTGGCCTGCCTGCAGCAGTGCGTGGTGGGCCACGGCGGGCTGGAGGCCATCCTGGTGGCGCTGTCGGACGCCTGGGAGCTGCTGCGCCACTGCCGCGCGCACAACGCGGCGCTGACGGCCTACCCCTCCGGCCGCTGGGTGGCGCCCCAGAAGTTCACGCGCGTGACGCGCAAGTTCTGGATGCGCGCCTGCGACGCGCCCGCCTTCAAGGCGGAGGTGATCAAGCACCTCCCCGTCCTCATCTACGGCGACCGCGCCAAGTTCACCGAGGGCGACGTGGAGGCCCGGCGCTGCCTGGCCGGCGCCGCACACGTCGCCGACGCCGCGGCGGTCACCTCGGTGTACTTTGACAACCCCGAGGAGCTGCCGGTGTACCACGCGCGCCTGCGCCGCGCCGACGGCGCCACGGCGGTGCGCCTGCGCTGGTACGGCGAGCGCGCCGCCGCCTCGCCCGACCAGGAGATCTTCGTGGAGGAGAAGGTGCATCGCGAGTCCTGGACCGACCACTTCTCCTCCAAGGAGCGCGCGAGGCTGGTACAGGGCGAGGTGGCCGCGTTTCTGGCGGGGCAAGACGTTGGTGGGTCGCGCCCTGCCGAGGACGCCGCCCTCCTGGCCCGCGTCCAGGCGTTCCTGGCGCGCGAGGCTCAGGGGCCCTTTTTGCGGACCACCTACCAGCGCACTGCCTTCCAGGCCAGCGACTCGGCGGCGGTGCGCATCTCCATGGACTCCGACCTGCGCATGATCCGGGAGGCGGGCGCGCCGCGCGCGCGGGACGACTGGTGCCGCGACCTGACCCGCCCCCTGGCCCCCGCCGACATCGTCAACTTCTCCTTTGTGGTGGTGGAGGTGAAGCTGCAGCGCAAGGCCCCGGAGTGGCTCACCCCCCTGCTGAAGTCCGGCAAGCTCCTGGCCGTGCCCAAGTTCAGCAAGCACATCCACGGCACCGCCGTCCTCTTCCAGCTCCTGACCGAGAACGTGCCGCACTGGTTCCTGCCGGACGCCGCCAACCCCAGCCTGATGACGCCCGCCACCTGGCACGAGCTGGCGGACAAGTCGGACGCGCTGCTGCGGGACGCCGCCTCTTGGCTCTTTCCCAGCGCTGACGGGGGCCGGCGCCGCGACGCCGATCCCGACCCGGATCTCGCGCCCAAGGCCTCGCTTCTGCGCCGCCTGGCGCGGCGCAACCGTACCGCCCCCGTCCTGCTGCAGCCCGGGGTCAAGGAGGCGGTGGGAACTGGAGGCGCGGAAGCCAGGGGCCAGTCGAGCGCCGGCGCGGAATCCAGGGGCCAGTCGACCGCCGGCGCAGAGTGGCAGGCGCCCGCGCCGCCGGCCCCTGCTGGCGGTGGAGGGAGTGGCGAGCGGGCCGTCGAGGAGGCTGGACACGCAGACGCGGCAGAGCACGACATCCTGTCGGGCTCTGCTGCGCACGCGCGCATGCCCACCTGGCCCGTGTTTGCGGCGGGGGAGGCGCTGCCGCCACCGCCGACGTGCGCGGGCCCTGGCGACGGCGCGGCACACCCCACGCGCACCCCCACGCCACCGCCGTCCGCCTTCACCGGGCCCAGCTCCACGCCGCAGCCCTCCGTCTACCCCGTGTCGCAGCTGGTTGCTGTGCCCATGATGCTCACGCCGCGCTCCTACCACGGCAACAGCGGCGGCCGCGAGGACAACGGCGCCGGCGCGCTGCAGCGCCACTCCTCCTCCTCGGAGCAGGGCCCCGGGAACGGCAAGGCCAAGAACACGGGGTCCTCCACGCCAGAGGACAGCGCGCGCGACCTGGAGGCTGGACGGGCGTTGCTGGGCTCCGCGGGCGACCTCAAGGTCCTGGGGGGCCAGGATGCCGTGACCCTGGCGGCCACGCGCTCGGGGCGCGTGCAGGCGCTGGTGCGCACGCGCGTCGAGCCCAAGACCTTCTTCGCCAACGAGCGCACCTTCCTGGCCTGGCTCCAGATCTCAGTCCTGGTCATGCTCACCGCGCTTTCCCTGCTCTCCGGCTCCTCCATCTCCGTCCCTGGGGCGGGGTCCGCCAGCGGCGGGTCCGAGGCGTCCTGCACCGACGGCCGCTGCTTCGCCTCCAAGGTCAGGGAGGGTTGGGAGATGTCTGGCGGAAGGAATGTTCCTCTTGCAGGGAGTGTTGTGATGATGGGCAGGGGACTGGATGCATCGATGGGATTGAAGCCACACATTCGCGTATCGCATCGTGTCAAGACCCCCTTGCCCTGTCCCTGAGCAACCACAACCCGAGGCCTCCTCCTCAACGTGTCCCTTCATTGCTCCTTCCTCCACCCCCTTCACCAGGTGTCGGGCGCCATCATCGCGCCGGTGGCCGTCCTCTTCATGGCGTACGCGCTGTACATGTACAAGAAGCGCACCATCCAGATCATGCGCCGCGAGACGGTGAGTTGTGAGGTTCGATGCAGCTGCAGGGACTGTATGTTCTGGAGGAGGTTTCCAGCAGTGCATCACGTGCCTGCTTTGACGCAGGCGGGTATCCTTTGTAACTGGCGACAAGCGTGTGGATTCTACTGGTCCAGGTTGTCACGACAGCCTCTCAAACATCCCTTTCTTGCAGGTCCGCTACGACGACCAGCGCGGCCCCGTGGCCCTGGTCATCATCCTGATCCTGGTCACCCTCATCTCATACATCATATCCCTGGTTTACGGCTTCTAGGCAGCAGCAGTTGATGGATGGGGGAAGGGGGCGCAGGGGAGCCCAGCTGGCGCTGCAGAAGTCAGCGGCATCTGGCACCTCCCAGCCCCCCCCTCCCCCCCCCCAGAAAACGTACACAGCACAACCCCCACACTAAACCATCTAGGTCCTGGCGGGGGCAACACCCCCGCCCCTCCCAAGCCGTGCACCCATTCCGCGGGCGGAAGCAGCACTCCCGCCCTGCTCTTTACTCCTCCCCCACAGTGATCAATTGGGAGGGGTCCTGGCTGCAATCCCCCCGCCCCCCCATGCGGGGTCCCCTCCCTGGCTGACCATCAGCTCTTTTTCTTGACGCTCCCTGTAGCCTGCCAGCTCTTGAATACGCTGTACACATCTTGTAAATTGTCCCCGTCCCATGTGAATGCATGGAGGTGTTATTGCACAGATCAATTGGGGTGGAATTAACGGGGGGGGGTGGAGGGTGAGGTGCGGCAAGCGCCTGCCACAAACGTAGGGTTCGCAGGAGGAGCCAACCACCTCGTGCTCTGGACACCAACGCGGCGGGGTGTGTGAGTGAATGTAGTGCGACACTTGCACGCAAGGTCGAATGAGATTGACATATCCCAAGGGGAATGGGGTCCATGGGCATCCTGTCCAGCACTGCCCAGCCTCCATTCGCTCAGGAGGAGCAGGACAGGAGCTCAATGCCCTTGCGGATTTGTCGGGGCGCGGGCACCTTCCAGGCGGATTCCCCCAGCCCATCCTTATACGGCCGCGCCAGCGCCTCCAGGTACGCCTCCAGGCCCTGCGTGTTCCCGCTCTCCACCTCGGCGATCAGGCTCACCATCACGTGGTTACGCGGGATCAGCGCCGGGTTGGCAGCGTCTTGCATCGCGCGGCGCTCGGCGGCGGGCAGGTCCTGGCCGGCCAGCACGGCACGGTACTTGGCCGCCCACGCACTCCAAGCCTCCACCCGCTCCTGTGTAAGAAGGGTGGGGCGGGAAGGGGAGGGACGGGAAGCTGGGGAGGGGAGGGTGAAAATGAGGGTGGCATGTGCACGTTTCCAAACACCTGCTGCTTTCAGGTCCAGCAGCCTTCTCCAGCGCCCCCCAGCTCCCCTCCTTCACCGCCCGGGCCCCTCTCAGCCCCTGCCACGCCAACGTCCCATTGCAGCTCGTAAAACATCACGAGGCCGTTCATTATATAACACCCCTCCACACCCACACACAGCACCTGTGCCAGGTCTTCGCCCAGGGCAGCGGCGAGGGCCGGGGTCAGGCCCTCCGCCCCATCCCCCGGCGCGACGCTCGATAGGGCGCGCCAGGTGTTGGTAAAGTCCGGCTTGTCCTGGATCATCAGCGCCATGAGGTCGCCGTACAGGCCGGGGTCAAAGTCGCGCAGGCCCAGCTTGCGCCGCATCGCGTCGGAGAAGGCGCCGGAGAGGGCCACCGTGAAGCTGTCCACCACTTCCTGCAGGCCCTCGCCGTCCAGCAGCCCCGCCAGCACAAAGGCCTTGCCCAGCATGAGCACATTGAATTGGCAGATGGCAGGCTGCGCCCTGAAAATGTTTTTTGGGGAAAAGGTCTTGTGCGTGTGAGGGAGATCAGAGGGTGGGGTTTGACACATCTGATCTGTGCGGGACTCGACAGGTCGCCGTCACTTCCAACATTCCAATGCTTGGCCGGCGCCCAGGCAGACGCACATGTAGGAACAAGCTCAGGCCACGACAGATGAAGGACTGCGGGTGGCATGATAGCAGGCCCTCTGCCTTCCCCTCTGAACACCGTCCATGCCTGCCCACCAACCTGAAGGCATATCGTCGGCCGGGCAAGTCGGTGGTGTTGGGGGTGTAGTTGGGGTCAAACCTCTCCATGAAAGCATACGGCCCGTAGTCAATGGTGTCACCTGCGGCATTGTAATTTGTGCATGCGGACGTGAATTACCCGTTACCGGCGCACGCCCGCCACGGGCTGGGAACCGCAAAGCTCACAGCAATCCTCTGGCCATTTGGTTTCCTGTACCGACTTCAGGACCCAGGAGAGCCTTCATCGACACACGTCCTCTCCCCGGACCCATCCAGACACCCACAGCCACACGCCGCCCTCCGCCACACCGCTCAACACACCCAGGATGCTCATGTTGTCGGTGTTGAGCACGCCGTGCACAAAGCCGACGCGGTGCCAGTGGACAACCGTGGCCGCCGTCCGCTCGGCCACCTCCTTCAAAAATCGGAGGTATTTCGGGTCGGGGCTGGCAGCGCCATCCTCCCCCGCCGCGCCGTTGCCTGCGGAGACCTCGCCATTGTCCCCATTCAGATGAGGGTAGTGGCGCCGGATGACGTGGTCCGCCACACGCCTCACCAGCCCCAGCTGCTCGCCGCCCCGAGCGCTGGGCAGCTGAAAGGTCCCAAACCTGACAAAGGAGCGGGCCACCCGACAGACCACCGCGCCGGGCTCCTCCTTCACGTCGCCATCATAAAACCTGGAACGCAATGGAATGGGGGGAGTGACAAGACGTAGCGTAGGACCCACAAACCGGCAGAGCATGCAGCTGCCTTGGATGACCCTCTAGAAGCAGGGCTACAGCAGGCCACACCTCTGGAGTCCTCACCCCGCATGTCCTCCCCCGATTCGTCTCCTCCAAAAGTGAACAAGGCCCTACATGTCTCTGTAGATGCCGGCACCAGTCGCGACCAGGCTCAGCGCGCGCGTGGTGGGAACCCCCAGCGCCGCCATGGCCTCGGAGGCAACGTACTCACGGAGCGAGGAGCGCAGGACCGCCCGCCCGTCGGCCATGCGCGAAAAGGGTGTCTTCCCGGCACCCTGCAGATGATGGGGCGAGGTGCGGTCGGATCGCAATGCCCAGGGTGAGGTTGGAAACTGATTCCATTCATCAAGAATGACTGGAAGCGATAGGGTGTTCTCTGAGCGGGTCCTCATGGATCAGTCCAAACCGCCAGCAGTCAGGCTGCTTGCACATCATCGTGCAAGAGGCAACCAGAGCACCGCCATCACCGGCAAATAACAGGCCCATCCCATCAATACAGGCCCCTCTTACACTCCACCAACCCACCTTGAGCTGCAGCTCCCAGTGCTTGCCTGCCTCGTTCACGACCTCGCCCAGGCAGATCGCGCGCCCATCTCCCAACTGCAGAGGGGGTGGGGGGAGAGGCGATCTGTTCCCGCTCAATCCTGCAACGACGTGAGCTCCCTTTGCTGACGTTCTCACGTCCCTTTCTTGTGTGCTCATGAGATGACCTGTCGTCGAAACCTCTCCCAAGCCCAGGGCGACACCAGGCCCCGGCTCCATCCCTGAGAGCCCCCGCAGATGCGCCGAGCACCCTCGCACCTGTCCCGCCCAGTACCCAAACTGGTGCCCGCCATAGCACTGCGCATAGGGCTTTGCCCCCGGAAGGGGCGCGTTTCCGCTGAAGATGGCTGCGAACTCTGGGCGCTGGAGCTCGCCCAAGTCCAGGCCGATCAACCGGGCCACCTCCTGTGATGCCGCCAGAGTGTGTGGCTCCGTGTCGGTGGGGGTGGGGTCCACCCAGGTGTACACCGCGTCCTCCACCTGGCAGGAAGGGAGATTGGAAAGCGGGGCTGCATGGGGCCGGCACTGAGCTACAGCCCGTCCCAGGGGGCAACACAGGAAATTGCAGCCACTACGGGCGACAAGAGGCCACTCACCTCGCGCAAACGGTTGAGCTTCTTCTCATCCGCGGGTAGGTCCTCGGTGAACCTGTTGTCGAATTTCAGGTTGTCCAGGCTGCGGCCCTTGACGTCTGCCGGGGCGGGCTCCGTCTGAGCCGTGGCCGTCATGACGACCGACCTTCGCAGCGAGGGGCGGTGTGCGGGGAGGGGGCTGGCCGTTCGGAGCCTGGAGAATGTCTTAAGGCAGTGCTGTAGGGAGGAAGCAGCTCCCAGCATGCCCGGGGCGTGGGGCGCCGGAAGTGATCGGGAGAGGGTGGTGTCAGGAACCTGTCTCACACCGGTATCGGCAGCATGCATGTGCATGAATGGAAAATGGGCGGTTGCTTTCGTGACGGTATGTGTGGGGCGAGTGTTCCAGCATTGGGAGCGTGGATGACATGAAGGGCATTCTCCTTCGACGAGATCGCTTCCTCCCAGTGGGACAGGAACTTCCACCTCCCCAATTCAGTAGTTATCTGGGAGTCAGGCCCCGCACTCTGTCAGTTTGAGCCCAATTTCGGAACAAGAATCTCTCGAATGGTTGCCAGTGGGCCACACAGGAGATCAGTCGATGTACGACACCTTCATCCGTGCGGGGCTTCTGTCTGAGGCTGTGTGAGCAGGGGCGTCAGAGGCTGGCCCTCCCCTGCATGGCCGCTCCCCGCCAGCTCCGCCCTGCACGAGAGGGGCTGCGAGCAGGGCTGGCCAGCCTCCTTCCCCGTCTCGTTCTCGTCCGTCGGCGGGGACCCAGAGCTGTGCTGGTCGGCGGGCGCGGGCTGGGGGCTGGGGTTGGCGACGGGGGCGGCCCGCGGGGCGGCGCCGTCGTCCACATCCCCGCCCCTGCCCCCCCCCCACAACCCCCCCGTCGGGGTCTCCAGGATCCACGGCCCGCGCGTCATCCCTGCCCCCCGCAGCACGCAGCGCCCTGCGCGCCTCGTCCCGCCGCCGCGTGGCCTCCACCAGCTCCCTCCAGGCCGCCGCATCCTCGTCCTCGCCCGCGTCGGCGACCGCCTCGCGCGGCGCCGCCGGCCCCGCCCCCACAAGGTCCACTACGGCGGGAGCGAGCACGCGCGGCGCGGCCCCGCCGCCGCCCTCGCCGCCGCCCCCCTGCAGCAGCGTCGCCGCCGCCACCTGGCGCTCGGCGGCGACCACACGGCGCGCCAGCCGGGCGTAGGTCGCCCTTTCTCCCCGGTCGTTGGACACCTCCACCTCGCGTCGCAGGCGACCGTACCGCGCCACCAGGTCGGCCCGGCGCCCGTCCAGGGGCAGCCCCACGCGCTTCAGCATCGCGCGCAGCGCTTTGTCGGACACCAGGCCGGGGACGAGCTTCGGGGGCAGGGGCAAGGGCCCCGTGGCGGCGGTGCTTGGCGCTGCCGGTGCATCCCTCCCGCCCTGGGGTCCCAGGGGATCTTCCTGCGGCGCGGCGCTAAAGCTGCGCCCCTTCCAGGCTGGGAGTCTTGTTCCATCACCTGCGCCACCTCCGCCGGGTCCATCCCCGGGCCCGGCGCCCCGCGCCAGACAGGCATCCACGTGGGAGTTTATGTAAAAGGCGGGGACGCGGCGGGCGCAGATGGGGCACGCCACAAACCCCTGTGCATGTGATTCGAGGAGTGTCAGGGTGAGGCAGCGGGGGGAATTAAGAGTACTCGGTGGGCGGGGCGGCGAGCCTCGGTGGGTTGCTGACGGGCCAGGGTCTGATCACGACTCGCGCTCCTCCAAGCGGTGACCGACAAAGAGGACACCTGCTCCTTGCCGTGCTCCACTCCCATGCCTACCCCGCCCCCTCACCTTGGGCGGGTCTGACTCGGGCGGGGAGGGTCCTCCAAGTCCAGGATTTCTACTGTGTTCTGGGTCACTCCCAGTGACGCACCCAACTTCGTCGGACCCACCCCCAGCCCCTGTGCGCTGACGCTTGCAGGGCACCTGCCCGCCGCTCCGCCCCCCCTTGGCCGGGCTGCTGTCCGCCTCACTGGCGGCAGCAGGGTCGACATCCCACTCACTGCCCGAGGAGCTCGAGCTCGCAGAGGGGGAGGCTGTGCCATCGGACCCCCGGGAGCCTGGCCCCGCCTCTGCCTCCGAGGACTTGCTGGAGGACCGGGTTCGCATGCGTTGCGGGGCAGGAGGAGGGGGCCCTGGCGCTGCCGCCGGCGGCGGGGCTGGCGCCCCCTCCAGCTCGGCGGAGGACGCTCGAGGTGGAGGAACCGGTCGCAGCAGGTCCAGGATCGCGCCCCTGGCCCTGCGGTACCTGTCGGCCGCCTCACGCAGCGAGTGGCAGGGCAGTAGGTCTCGCGCATCGCAGGGGTGGCGGCAGCCTGGGCAGGCCGGCTGACCGGCCTTCTCCTGAAAGTCCAGGCTGCCGCGGATGCAGGAGGCACAGACTGCAGCATGGTGTGAGTGGGAGCGAGTGTAAGAGGTCGTCGGAATGCCACAGCACGCACTTGCCCTGTGCACTGCGGAGCCTTGATCACAGACCCTACCAGGACCAGGACTCACAGGTGTGCCCGCAGCCACGCAGCATGAGGGGGGTGTCGTAGATGCCGTAGCAGATGCTGCATCGCAGGCTGACGTCGAGCAGCCGCAGACACTCGCCCTGTTCCGTGTCGGGGAAGTCGGTGGATTGGGAGGGCCTCTCACCCTCTCGCTCCCCCAGCATGGCGGGGTAGGGATGTCTAGGCCGTGGGGGCCCGCAGTCGCTTCACCGCACACAGCATGCTTGATTTCAACACAGCATAGGTACGCTACGAAATTAAAATCAGAAGTAGAGGCCTGTTGGAGCTGAGGTCTCGGTCGTTCAAGGACCCTCCGTGGTTCAAAAGCGATCCAGCATCCGGGAGCAGGCCGGAAAAGTACTCGCCAGGCCAGGCCCAGGGCGCAAGGGGTAGCTTCCAGCATACATTATAATAAAAGTTGTCTTCAAGCAGCTTCTATGACAACGAGTGCGTCCGCGATTGCAGAGTCCCTGCCTTTTTGGCGTGGGTGCACTCGCCTCTCGAAGGCCCCGCCTGCTCCCTAGCTCCGGCACCCCGGGCGGATGGCTTCGGGGCGCGGTGGGAGATGGCTTACCATCCTCCTGGCCCTGATCTTGATTGTAAACCCATCCTTGGCCTCCGACAGCGTCTCCGTCCTGGACCCCGCTGCTGCTGCCGAGGCCCCTGCCCCCGGAGCAAGGTGGGGGAACATGGCCGTGAGGGACAGGCACCCAGGTGGCCCATTCTCGCATCTGATCCATCAGAGTGCCTGCCCTGCTGCAATGCCTTTGGCATTCGCGCAGGGCGGACCCTGCAGGCCTGTACTGCAGGGCGCCATTGTGGTTGTCCTTGGACATCTGGTAGGTTGAACCCCCCCAAGTAACACCCCATGCCTGATCTCCCCCCACCCCCAGCCCCGCTCCCAACCATCTGCTGGTGAGCCTTGCCAACGGTCGCCTGGTGGCCCTGGACCCGGGCACCGGCGAGGAGGTCTGGTCCTTTGACTCCGGCGCGCCCCTCGTCTCCTCGGCTGCCTCGTGGGACGCGGCCCCCGCCCCGGGGTCGCGCCCCCCCGGCCCCCAGGACATCGTCTTCCCCGGCACCGACGGCAGCCTGTACGTGGCGCGCGAGGGCCCCGGCACCTCCCCCGTGCGCGTGGAGCGGCTGCCGGTGAAGGTGGCGGACCTGGTGGGCCTGGCGCCCTCCCCCGCCGCGGACGGCAGCCTGGTGCTGGGCTCCCAGCACACCACCGTTTACGTCCTGGACGGGGACACGGGGCAGCTGCTGCGCACCGTCTACGACTTCGAGGGCGACCCGGGCAGGCTCCTGCCCCGCGAGCGCGGCGGGGTGCAGGGCCTGCTGCGCCTCCCCGCCCGACAGGACAGCGACGATCAGGGAGGCAATGGGGCGGCTGGGAAGCGGGCGACGAGGGACGGCCTCGACGCCGATGCCGACACGCCACCCAGGAACCCCCCCCCGCGCCGGACCTCGGGGCCGGGCCCCATCAAGGGGCGTGTGACCATCACCGACAACACCGCCCCCGTCCCGCGCCGCACCGTCCTGGTGGGCAGGAAGGACTACGTGCTCCGTTCCGTGGACCCCCTGGTGCGTGCAGTCTGGCTGGATGGTGGTGCATGGGGTGGGGGGAAGCGGGTGCCAAGGGTGGTCCGGGGCGTGCTCGCTGCAAGAGCTGCTGCGCGGAATGTTGCTGGCATGAGATTCAGGGCTCGGCGGCGAGTTCCTCGCGCCACCACCCCATGCACATCCACACCCCGACATCACACCCCGTCCACCCTTCCCCCCATCAACCATTCCCCCAGGTGGGTGAGCAGTGGAACGTGTCGTGGTCGCGACTGGAGGCCATGGGGTCTCTGGGCGGGGGCTGCGTGACCCCGGGTCCGGGCACCGGCCCCGCCGACCCCGGGCTCCACCTGGCCGTGGGCACCGACCACTCGCTGCGACGCTACTCCGCGGCAGACGGCGCACAGCACTGGGCCGCGCACTTCGACTCCCCGCCCGTCTCCGTGGTCCGCGGCGCGGGCGGGCGCGAGCTGCTGCGCGCGCCCGGGGACGATCCGGGCGCAGACTCGCGGCCGGCGCCGTCGCCGAGTCTCCTGTCGAGGCTGGGCGCGGGGCTGTGGAGCGGGAGCGAGGAGCGGCGGCTGGAGGGCAGCCTGCCCGGGCGTGGCGCGCCGGCGGAGAGCGTCGTGGTGGGCATCATGGAGGGCGCGGGCATCTACGCCATGCCCCGGGGCCGCCTGGCGGTCATCGGCGACGGCGGGGACCCGGGATCCAAGACCGTGGCCCCACGCGGGCCGGCGCGCGCCGACGAGGCGCTGGGCGGCCCGGCGCAGCGGGCGCTGGAGCGCTGGACGGGGGCCGAGCGCGAGGAGGCGTGCAGCGTGGAGGCGGGCGCGGCCTGCCCCCCGCTCACCCTCGGCTCCTTCCCCCTCGCGCCGGGGGTCGAGGCCGGGCGGGGGTCCTTGCCTGCGCTGCCGGGCGCGGCTGCAGAGGCCCCCGGCGCGGGTAGTCGGGACGGGAGGCAGCAGGCGATGGGAGCGCCGCTCCTGGCGGCCGCATGCGTCCTGATTGCAGCGGCCGCGGCGGGTGGCTGGTGGAGGAAGGGGAGGGTGGCAGGCGGGCCCGCAGCAGTGCAGACGGTGGGGGGGGAGCGTGGAGGAGCATGGGGTTGCGTTTGGGGGGGGGGGGTTCTGATGATGATGAGGTCCAAGCTGGGACGCATGACATGAGATCCTGCAGGTCGAGGCGTGGACAGGCAGTTGACAATAGTCGAAGAAGGAGGAGGACTTGCCCCTGCTGCACTGGGATCCTTCCGTGCTGTTGCATTTCCCGCGAGTCCCTCACCAGCCCTGCATGAGCCCCCCAACCTCGATTGTACAGGCGCAGGTGCAAGCCGGCGCAGGCAGCCCCGCACCACGCCCGAGGAGGAAGCCGGGGAGCGCCCAGAAGAAGAGGTCGCAGCAGTCCCGCCTGATCGCAGCGGCGAGCGTCGATGCAGGCACGACGCAGGAGGGCCCAGCGAATGGCGTGCGCAGCGAGGCAGCACCCGCCTCGCCTGAGCGTGGGAAGTCTACGTTCGTTGTCGCCAACGTAGCGCCCCCTGCCGACGGCAGTGAAGCAAAGGACGGCGTGCCCCCGCCAGGGGCAACCCTGGCAGACTCCAACGGCCTGGCGGGCAGTGGCGAGGGATGCACGCCCGCCGCCTCCCCAGGGAGCTTGCAGGCAGCTGCGCCATGCGAGGGGATCCCTGCAGAACCCGAGCGCAGCCCCGCACCCTCGGACTCCGACCCTGCGTCCTCTGATCCACCCCCCATGCCGGCGGGCCCCACCCCCCTCCCAGCGCGCACCCTCCCGGGCCCCAGCCCCTCTGCGTCCCGCGGCGCGCTGGCCGTGGGGCGCATGCTGGTGGGTCCCGGTATCCTGGGCCTGGGGTCCGGCGGCACTGTAGTGTTCGAGGGGTCGCTGGACGGCCGTCCCGTGGCCGTCAAGCGCCTGCTGCGCCAGTTCTACGACCTGGCCGCCAGCGAGATCCGGACCCTGATCCTGTCGGACGAGCACGTGAACGTCGTGCGCTACATCGCCATGGAGGAGGACGCCCAGTTCTGCTACCTGGCGCTGGAGAGGTGCGCCGGCAGCCTCAACGACGTCCTGGCGGGGGGCGGGAGGTGTGGGGAGGAGGAGGGACGGAAGGCGGGGTGGCAGGCGGAGGCGACCGAGAGTGTGGAAGGTACGGACGGCGCCCTGCCCTCCCCCGCCTCGCACCACCGACGCCCTAGGCGCCTTGCCGCCGCCGACTTCTGGGACGCTGCGACCGGGACGCCGTCCGCGCTGGCGCTGCGCGTCGCGGCCGACGCATGCCGCGGCGTGGCAGCGCTGCACGCGCGCGGCATCGTGCATCGCGACCTCAAGCCGCACAACATCCTGCTCACCGCCGCCGGCTGCGCCAAGCTGTCGGACATGGGGCTCAGCCGCCGCCTCGTCCCCGACCAGATCAGCTTCGAGACGCTGGGCTCAGGTGGGATGAGAGGAGGAGGGGGGGGAGGGTGCATGGCTTGGGCCAGCATGCTTGGATGGGACCGGTGCGGAGAGAGCACTGCTGCAAATCGCCCCTGGTGTCTTCTGACTCCCGCGCTTTGAGAGTTGCCTGGTTCACGGGGTTGAGGTCCTTGCCACCACGATCTGGCCCTTGCTCTACATCAAGCGGGTGGTGGATGGGCGCGCTCTGCATCCATGCAGGGACATCAAGCAGCCTGCCCTGCTCCTCCAGACATGCTCCACACATGCCCTGCCAGCCGCTCGCCCCCCCCAGGAGCTCGCACTCGCAAGCACCCGCCCACTCTTTCGCTCGATCATGATCAGCAATGCCCACACCAACACAGGTGGCAGCTCGGGGTGGCAGGCCCCGGAGCAGCTGGCTGCCCGAGACGGGCAGTCGGCGAGGCAGACGCTGGCGGTGGACGTCTTCTCCCTGGGCCTGGTGGTATTCTACTGCCTGACCCAGGGCGAGCACCCCTTTGGCTCGGGCGTGGAGAGGGACGCCAACATCTTCCACGTGGGTTGGAATCTTTGAGAGGGGGTGCATGGCGAGGGGGCAGGTTGGCGGCAACAGATTGCTGTGGGGGGTTGGCATGTACGACAAACCTTCTCATCTCACCCTTCTTTCTATTACGGACAGAGCTCCCTCCTGCTGAAACTCCTTGCACGCCTGCTCACCCTCCCATCCCCGCCACTACCTGCAGGGCAAGCTGCGCATGGGCAGGCTGGAATCACAGGCCATAGCGGCGGACCTGGTGAGGGGCATGCTGGCGCAAGATCCCCGCCGCCGGCCCAGCGCAGCAGCCGTGCTGACGCACCCCCTCTGGTGGCCCTCGGCACAGCGCCTCGCTTTCCTCATCGACGTCAGCGACCGCGTGGAGGGCGAGGACCGCGTGGTGAGTTGTGACTGTTATCAGCGGATGGGGCCGGCGAGCCCAGTGAGAGTGTGTTCCCCTGGCCTGAGGTTGGGGGTCATGCTGCTTGTTGGCATCTGGATGGGTGGTGCTCCAGGGTAAAGTGACCAACGCCTTGGCTCCCCCTACCCGCAGGAGGATGGGTCGATGTATGAGGCGCTGGAGGGGCTGGGTCTGCTGGCCATCCCCTCTGGCAGCTGGGCCCCCGCGCTCGATTCGCGCCTTGTGAACAACCTGGGTGAGGCTTGAAGGGGTTGGGAGGGGCGTCCGCAAGAGTGTTTATAGCAGCATCGATCCCTGATGGTCTCGGTCTGCCAGTTTGAGCCCCCCTCGGACCCTCCAAAGGGCCACACACCGGGGTTGACTGAGATAGCCTCTGCATGTGTGCAGGCATGCCTCCTTTGCCATGTATCCCTCCACGTCATGTGCAGGCAAGTACAGGCGGTACAACTACGCCAGCCTGCGGGACCTGCTCCGCGTCATCCGCAACAAGCACTCCCACTTCCGTGAACTGCCGCTGGACCTGCAGGAGCGGCTGGGCCCGCTGCCGCATGGGTTCCTGGCCTACTTTGAGGAGAGGTGTGAGGAGGAGAGGGGTTGGATTGTGGTAGAGGGGTTGAGGATGTCAGAGGAAGAGGAACGGAAGGAGGTGGGGCTACACAAATCTGAGATGGTTGGCATCGTGGCACCAGCTCATCCTGCTGCAGCCACATCGGAGCTGGGCGCTCACTCTTAATCCAGTACGTACCCACAGATGTATCAGCGCCCCGTCCCTACACAGGTTCCCCTCGCTGCTCCTGGCGTGCTACTACTTTGCGGTTCGGCACTGCTCGGACGAGCCGGTGTTTGCCAAGTACCTCACGCCCGACAGCGCGGAGCTGGTGGAGAAGCTGGGCCCGCCCGCCGACCTGCGACGGACCCTGCCCGTCCTCCTGTCACCGGATCGGCCCCCCTTTGATCCTGGGCTCCGGGCGGAGGCAGGGGCCGGGTGGGCACGGGGCGGGCAGGGTGGTGCTGCGCCGCCAGCGGATGTCGAGGGCGAACTCCCACGCCGCCCCGGCCACGCCATCTGCGAGTTCTACACGAAGACCGGTGGGTGCGAGGCATGGGGCATGGAGAGAAGATGGGTCGCAAGGCAGGGGGAGGGTACGACCGCTTGATAGGGAAGCTGGAAGGAGTAATTGGGTGTCTGCAGGGGCTTGAGGTGGTCCCATGTTGCCTGGCATTCTTGCTCTCTTGGCCCCCAGCCCTGTGGCTCACGTCCGTCCCCCACACCTTGCATGGCCCGCTTTCATGCCAGTAATGCGAACCACTGCGTCCCCGCAGGCCACTGCAAGTTTGGGCGGTGGTGCAGGTTCGACCACCCGCCAGAGTACGCCGTGCAGAGGAACGAGCAGGGGCTGCCCCTGCGGCCAGGCACGCCCGTCTGCTCCTTTTACGAACGTTATGGGGCCTGCAAGTTTGGCGCATCCTGCAAGTTCCACCACCCCTCCCTGTCCGGCCAGCCGACTGTGCGGGGCAGCCCCTGATTGAATCTCTTCAGGCTTTGCTCACATCCTTCCTCGTGACCCTGCAGATTGCAGCCTTCTCCTTCTGCCCATTGACCCCCTTCAGTACACACCTGTGGTACCCCTTGTGGCCTGGCTGAGTATACACTCATGCCATGGCTAGGATTTTTGTAAACAGGGCTTGAAAGAAAAGTCGCTCACAGGTGCGGTGACAGAGCAGCAACAGGGGGGTCATGCCAGCGAGAGGTACACCTGGCCTTTATGCTGGGCAGTGATATCAATGCGAGGCCGATGTCAAAGAGGATGGTCAGGCAATGGTAGTGCCATAGCCAAGCATGCATGCTTTAGTGCTGGGGAAATAAATGGTAAGGGCAGGAAAATTAGGTCTTTAAGCTCGTTCGTTGTGGACTATGGCACAGTGGAGCCTGCGCATTGCTCAGCGGTCTTCAAAATGGGGTCGAGCAGGTCACCTCATGATTCTTCATGGCTGCAGTCCCATGAGAGGCAGGCGCTCACGAACCCATCTTGCGATGCTCGGACCTGGCTACCCCCGCCCCCGGATCGTGCCGGTCTGCCAGGTCCAGGCCATCTGCGGTGCCGCTGGCTTCATCCTGGACCCGCGCAAAAGGGGTGTTGCCTCCCTGCAGCTGGCTCTCCAGGAGGGCATTGAATGCGATGGCAGCTGCCTGTCCCCCTAGGCCAAAGGGAGAACGTTTCCTGGGGAGGAGCAAGAGCTCCCCTTGTGCCCCTGCCTCTTGCAACTCTAAGCTGGGAGCTGCAAAGTGCAGGGAGGGGTAGGAAATGAGCAATCCAGGTTATATGTTTATGGTGGAGATGAGTTACTTCCCATGCAAACTGAATTTCTAGACTCGTGACTTCTGTGTACGTGGTGAACCGGGATACGGAGAAGAAGTGCGCAAGACTAGCAGGCTGTTTGCTGGCTCTCCAAGCCTCGACAGGAATCCTGTTGCATTCATGCTAACTCAGACCCACCTGTCACAGAATTTGCATCCGAGTAAGGAAGCATGAGGAGCAGGCCAGAGCCCACTAGAAGGACCAGTACCATCACTGCAGCACCAAGCTTCCATGCCCTGGAGGCATCCTGAGTTCCAGACTGTGCGTTGACAAATCCAAAGAGAGGGGCTGATGACAATGGCACTGCAGTGAATGTACTGCACTGTGTTTCAATATTGGGTCCACCCAAGCACACTCATCACAGACCACTCACCCATTTGGCATCATGCTGATGGACGAGGAATTGTTTGAGGTTCGGCTCATGCTGCCTTAGGTCCTGAAGGATGAGAGAGTGAGAGAGACCTCTGACCTGTTCGACCGGCTGTTTGCTCATCGTCCGGATCATCCCGGGTACATATGGTCGGGGACGATGGCAGTTTGAATGTCTGAGCTCATCGCATACCGAATGGACGAGACGGGTCCTTACTTACTGAGCAAATACTGAGATAAGCCGTCAAAAAAGCAGCAAGCCCTTGGCCCCGGCCAGCTTCTCCAACCCCCCTCACCAACGAGCTGGGGGTACCGCTCCCGGTCCTGGCGATGATGCTGCTGCAGGTCGAGGCGCCGATCATTACTTCTACTGATGAAGATTGGATGTTTGAAAAGCTTCCTTTCCCTAAAGCGGTGTCCAGTTGGGCAGCAAATCGCCGTGCGAGGTGCCTTCCGTACCAGGGTCCGGGGAAAGGAGCTCCTCTTGGCCGGCTCTTGGGGTTGCTCGAGGTCCTGAGGGTTGAAGCTTGCTGGTATGATAGGCAGGACACCTGTTAAAATGATAATTCGCTAGTCAGAGCCTGGGAAGCAACCCCATTGACATATTCCGAGCTTTTGGTTCTCGGGAGAAACCGGGAAGATATTTTTGAATGCCTGCCGGACGTAGCATGGGCGCGAGGCTTTTGCTGTCCATGTCATACAGCGTCTCCTCAGCCGCACAGCATGGCGCGCTGCTGTCAATGCTCACCAAATGACTTGTCGAGACGCTGACTGGGCCCCTATGGCTGAACAATTTCTCGTTATATAGGACCGCGCATATGGCTTGGTTCGGGGACGACCCCGACGGTGTCTGCACGGGCCTTCTGGAGTGTGACTCCCTGGACCATGGTGCATCTACACCTCCAGCTGGAAGCCAGTTCATGACGGGCCTGGGGAGTCAGCAGGAGGAGATGGAGATGGTGCTGTGCTGCGTCATCCTGGCTGCCAGCCTAGCGATGGCCCTAAAACGGCTCTGGCACCGTTCTCGACAACGATCAGCCCCAAGCCCATCACCAGGGTGAGGAAAGAGGCCACTGGGCTCCCTGTCATCCTGCGGACACCCGTCTGCACCCTGGACTAACAACCCCACGCCTCACAGGTGGAAAGTGCGGTACCCAGCCCCCTCGGCGGCTCCCCCCTTGCGCCCCAGACCGAGTGGATCCGCGGCAAGATCTCCCGCGGCTCACACCTCGCCCTCCGCTGGGAACTACTACGGCCTGGGTCCAGGTGCGCTTTCCATAATATGTGGCTGGGATGTGTGTGCATGAGGGAGCTGGTCGGATAACATCGCTGGGGAACCTCGTAGACAGCCAGGCAGGCGAGCGGTACCACGCTCCAAATGAGCCGCCTGCTCGCTGGCAGGGCGTGCAAGTAGGGTGGGACTCCCATGGGGGGCCCCCTCCCAGAATGTCTCCTGTCCGCCGGTCCTTCCAGGCCGCCCCACGCCATCCTCACCCCCCCCCACACACACCCCCCGGCCAACTCAGGCGAAGCCGGGAGTGGCTCGGAGTCGGAGTCGGAGGGGGGGGCCTGCACGGTCAGCGCGTTGCGCGCGCTGCGCGCCTCCCCCGAGTTCCAGCGGTACATGCGGGCCCGGAATCTGGCGCCTGCGGTGCTGGAGCGGACCACGGCGAGGCTGCGCCTGTACCGCCGGCTCAGGCACCTCGACCCCGCCGGGTTCAGGAAGCTGTGTGGCAAGGCCCCCAGCTCCTACGACAGCCAGGTGACCTGAGGATGCATCATGGGATGGAAGTCGCGGGGCAGGTCACGCTCTGAGCTCATCCCGCGAGTCCGCGTTCTCAGTTGTCCTGCCAAGTCATTCGCCCTTCAAGCGATTCTCCCCCCAAATCGTGACACTCCCCAGGTCCCAGGCCTCCCCATCCGCTTGCTGGAGGCGCTGGTGTCGCAGTCGGTGCAGAGCCTGCTGGCGAGCGCAGCGCGGGCAGCGTGGCGGGAGGGCTGGCACTGGCCGCGAGTCGTGCTGGTGGTGCTGCTCTCCGCCTGGCTGGTGGGGGCGCGCTGGGGGGCGGGGCGCCCCGTCGCCAGCGTCCTCTTCAGGGGTGCGCGGAGTGGGTGCAGGAGTGAGTCATGAGTGAGTCATGAGTGAGTCATGAGTGCCTGCCTGGGCAGGCAGTTCAAGGGGTGGCCCAGGCGCCAAACTTCTCCTCCTTCACTGACTGTCGCGGGGACGCTGCTCGTGGCACGCGCGTCCAACCTGATCACAGCTGCCCACGCGCTCCAGCATGTCCGCCAGGGCGAGATCACCTCCCCCTCTCCCACCCAGATCTGTGGTACGAGGATGTGCGGTGGGAGCACCGGGCGCCGGCCTGGCGCACCATGCTGGCAGCCTCCCTCGACACCCTGCCGAACTGGCAAGCGCCGGGGGCGGGGATGCTGCTGGCCCTGGGTCTGCGCTGCCTCACAGCCAGCGGCCAGACGCTCGGCGAGCGGCTGGCGGGGCTGAGCCTCGTCTCCGAGGGCCTCGTGCACCAAAGCGACGATGAGGACGAGGACGACTGAGGAGATGCGGCGTGGCATGCCCCACCGCGCTCTCGTGTGGCCATTCTGCCGAGCACACGCCCTCCACCCCCCATCTCCTGTCGAGTGCCAGCCCCCAGGCCTGGATCCCGTTGACGCAACACCATGTCCTTGCCGGTCGCTGCTCTGGACCCCTCTCTCTGCACGCCCGTGCTTGACACCCCGCCTGACAGGTCTCGACTCTCCCTGCCACCCGTTGGCATGCACCGCATGGCCACCACACGCATCGCACCCTCATGTGGCCACCCCGGCTGCCAGAGCGTTGAGGCTTTGGGAAAGCGCGACCACCCCGGCCAGCACCCCCACCGCCTCGGCCGCCGCCAGGCGCTGCCCAAACCGAGACTGGAACTTGTCCGGGTGCCAGCGTACCAGCTCCGCACGGATGCACCGCCGCTGCGCCCCCGCATCCGTGGCACCTGACGAGTGTGGTTTGGGGGGGGGGGGGGGAGCACGTTGGTCGTCAAATAAGAGGCAGGAGCCGCTACCGGCAGCGATCTGTGGAGCCTCTGGCCTGCCGGGGGGGGAGGGGGACTGCAATGGCCAGACGGCCGGTCTGGGTGGCATGTCAGCCCTGCACCCTTGCGGTCGTGCTCGGGAAGGCAAGCACACCCGCCCACCCGCCCACGCACCGTAGAGGACGACGCGGCGCAGCTGTGCAGCATCCAGGTCCTGGGGCCCACTCAGGATCCAGGGTACGTCGCGCAGGCCAATGCTGGCCGGGGGGGCGGCCACGAAACGCTGCCAGCGGGCCTCGTACGACGCCCTGCGCGCGCCGGCGTCTCCCTGTATGGCGGGAGGGGGCCTGGTGAGACAGGATGGGCTTGGCCATAGGCAAAATGCGGGGCTGGCAGTGGCGGAGTGGGACGAGCAGGGAGGTTGTGCACCATGCGGCGGGGGAGCGATTCACCAGGGTACTCCTCCCTTTCATGGGCCAAACAGTATGGCACAGCCTGAGCAAGCGGTACCGGAATCACAGCAGTTCTAGCTCCCCCCCCGCATGCACCCACCTGGGCCACAGCCTCGCGCCAGGCGGCGTCCCGGGCTTGCTCATCCTCCAGGATCCTGCTCGACTGGCGGGGGGGTTCCGCCCGC